TCTCTTGGCGCTCTTCCGTGTTTTGGCAGCCCCGGGAAAATTTAAAGTAGCCATTTTCATCGCGACTCGAAGAGAGAGAAACCTCACCGCATTCATCATATTTCAACACATCTGACTAAGGTACGATACTTTATTTTATCTCATCTTTTACTAGTAATGTTAAAACTTTATGCAAAAACGTCAGCATGCCCTGCCTGGTTTTCTTTTCTCATATGACGAATTCACACAAATGCTAGTAGGCTACCTTGCATTTTCGTTTTTCTGTTTCGTTTTTTGTGTGTGTAATGGTTTCGTTTAGTCTTGGATAAAATGTTAAATTAAATGTTATATTTGTATCAGATTGGTTTTCCCCGTGATATAATGCTCCATGAGCTTGCTAACTTAACTGTTTGTCATCTTTAACAAGTCATCTGTTGGCTTGACCATTATTTTCAACTTTTGTAATATTTATGAGATTGCATATATTAAATAGTTCAAAAACGAGATGTTAAAATGTTCACTCGCTGTCCCTGTGAGAACGTATGAGAATTATCCATGGTTTTACCACTAAAATGACTATTCTTACCAATAAAAATAGTACAGTACATACTATTACATTATTAGTAGATTCTTTTGTAGTAAAATCTCAATATCCATATATTTCCCACTGTTGCGCATGAACATAGTAGCCTACATAGGACATACATGGCATTAAATGAATACAGATAAAACACAAGAATATGAACATATTTACAAATTTATAGATCTGAATGATTCTGATCTATTTGTAAAAGAGCTGTGCAAATGGCAGTGTAAACAAATGTCAGTAATGCAAAAAGCCATTAAAATGGAGGGGTGCATAGAGTTCAGAGCACCTTAATAGGTACTCTTTCCACGTTTCGATTCCTTTCTTGATATGACCCCCTCTGGAGACCTTTAAATAAGTCAAATTTAACCCAGAGCAGCTTCTGTATACTAAAATCTAAAGCAGCGATACAAAAAATATTTTAAAAAAATGAAAGACGTAAATTGAATATATACATCTAATAGTTTTTTTTCCCCTCATATGTCACAGGCCAGCATGCAAAAAAAATTCAGTTTCTTTCCAGGGAGGATGAAAGTTGTTTTCCGCAAGGGACCTCGAGGATACCTCCGTCAGGATCCAACTGATGCAGCTAAGCTGCTCAAAGACAACCCGTCTCTGCAGGACAAGTCTGCACCTCTGAGGGAGGATATAGTCAAACAAAATGCCCTGACTGTGGTCCGTCAGAGAGGAGGGGATGCCTCAGACAGGGCAGAGGTGCTGGGGGAATACATCTTGCAGTTTGGTAAATATAAGGGGAAATCCTTCCGGTGGCTTTTGGAAAATGATGTAGGCTACACAATCTACCTCATAAAGCACACAGAGAAAGAAGAGGCTGCTGGAGTGTTTATGAACGAGGGGCACAGTAAGGCCAGCTTGTTTAGCTTTGTGGGCTATGCCCGGAGCTTTGAAGAAATCAAATCTCTTCTATGTTATGAGTCGGAAAAGCCCACAACTCGAGCAGTCTCAGAGGACGACCAGCTTGTTGGCTTTGGCTCTCGTGCCAAGAGCACCTGGCGGGAGGTGTGGGACAGCAGGGCTGATGGCTATGCAGCCTTCATCATGAGGACTAAGTGTTTTTCGGGGACTCAGATGTACAGACTGCAACAGTACCTGAGAAACAAGGAGTCAGCCTCTGTCCCCTCTCCACCAGTTCTTGCCTCAAGTGCACCTGATGAACCCATGAGTAGGTTTTTTTTATTCAGTATGCAAAAAATGTATTAGTTTTTTTTGTACCTATTCATTTACATCAAAATACAACTCAGTCATGGAACACATGCTTTTAACCAAAATAATTGCACTACAATGTATTGTTTCTGTCTGTGTCACAGGGATGGATGATGATGAGGACCTGGAGAAAGCAATGCTGAGTATATCGCCCACCAAGGAACTGGTTCAGTGTTGTAAGTACAGACGTTCTACTGAGTGAACATTCAAAATTGAGTTTGGCTCAAACAGTGTCATTAAATGCGAGTCTGCTATACCATTGAATCTTTTTGTGTGTTGCCAGATGATGCTGCTTCATCATCATCATCATCATCATCATCATCATCATTTGCTGTACCGGGACAAGCCACAGGAATTGAAATAGGTTTCATAAAAGTTCACACATGTTGGATCGAGCCACAATGAATTGCTCTTCAAAACGCAACCATGAATTTAACCGTTCTTTTGTGTGTTTTGTGTGTTCTGGTCATGTTCTGGCCATGTTCATGTTCCACTAATGTTATGTTTGCATGCTGATGTTCCTATAGCAACCAATATGGTTCATGAATTGATTTCCTCAATGGTGAGGGTAAGTAACAAAGTAATTTTTTTCCTTAAGCATGTTATTTAGGGTAGGAAAAATCATATTGCTTCCCCTGCTTAGACTTATAAAGGCTTATATTATTATAATTGAGCATCAATCCATACAAAAATGTGTGTAAGAATAAAGTGTATTACCATTCAAATATATCAGAATGAAGTACCCCTTGAATTTATAAGACTTAGCAGGTGAAGTAAGATTTTAGTGGTCTGTGTCTTTACCAAGACTGATCGTTTCATGTTTCTAACTGACATAATAATGTCTATTTTAGAACCAGCTGCTTCACTGTCCAGGCCACCTGCTGACACTCAAAGGAAACCGCACGAGTCACTAGTAGATGGTAATTGCAGTGTAATTTGTTTCTCCATCTTTCATATTAATCCAATAAATCAATTGTCTTATCCACTTTGGTAATATCAGTTATACTTCAATAATTTACTGGGTTAATGGTTTTGTTATCCGCTTGTCTTTCCTTCCTTGTGGTCCGGCCATGCCTACAGTGAAGAGACCTGTGCCCCTTCCTTCTGAACTGCAGTTTCTGGTGAATGTCTCAGCACCAGGTGTGTTTTTTTATATTCAGTTTTATTTGGTGTTATTTTATTTGGCCCATATGGGTGTTATAAGTTTCTTCAAGGCTATACAGCAGTGGTAACAAATAGGGTAATTAGGTTAATAAATAAATTATGCAATATAAAGCAATCAGGTTTATTGGTTTTAACTTAACCATACATTGATCTTTTCAGGAACCCTCCCACCTTCTGAGAACTCCTCTTCCCCTCATACACCTGAGCCACCACACAGTAAGATGTTTTCATAACTCCTTTCTCAAGTGTTACTGGGCCCAACTGTGTCCTTTATTGTGGAGTCTATAATGAGAAGAATAAAAAGTGTAAATGTTATGACATCCACAGATGGGCATAAATACATGAAAAAATGTATTTAAAATAAAAACACAAAATACCTCAGTTGAAATGGATAAAAATAAAATCTCAAATACTGTGTGGAGAAAATGTATTTAAATACAAATACAGTATTTTGAAAATACTAAAATAATACACCTACATGTATTTAAATACAAAATATATTTTATTTCTTTTTTCAAAGACATTCAAATGCAAAATAGTATTTTATATTTCAAATACGTATTTTAAATACATGTATCTGAAATACTGCCCATCCCTGATGGCATTGCACTAATCTACTTTTTCTATTTTATTCTTGTTCTCTCAGGTGTTCCTTCTGTTGGTGTTCCCCCATCGACACTCAGACCAGCCCCTCGTACATCTGAGACACCACACAGTAAGATGTTTTTATCTCACAACTACTCTGAAGATGTTACTATGGCCAAAATATGTTTTCATTTATTATGCAATCTGTGATAATACAATGTGTGAAAAATACTAAGTTCAATTTAAATTAAAATTTATTTGCATAGCACTTTTCACAATACATGTCGTTTCAAAGCAGCTTTACAGAAAATGCATGCGTCTAGTTCTTTACAATTCAAAGTGATGTTATCGGTTATGCGTTTCAGAAATTGACATATAAAAATGACAGTTAGCTAATAATGTATTAATGTAAGGCAGAAACAAAAAGCTAATTTAAGTAATGAATACATGTTTGTTATTAGATGTTTGGAATAAATGGAAAACAAGTCACTAATTATGTTTTTGTTTTTCCTTGTTCCCACAGCAGGGCCTTCTGCTTTTGTTGCCCCACCGGCACAGAGACCAGATCAGGATATAAGCCATTGGACCTGTTCTTATCATCAGAAAATGTGGATGAAGACAGAGCTCCAATCTCTGGGACTGTGGCCTGGGTCTCACCATTTGCTCAAGCCAGGAAACGCCCTTTCATTATTGCGTCTCCCGCCACAGCCAGAACTCATTGACACTGTGTCAGTGCTCCCATCCCGCAATTTCTTTCAGCTCCATCCATTTTTTATTTGGAAACCAGAAAGTGACATCATGGTGAGACTGAGAAATAATTGTATTCTCCCATGTCTTCATGGTTGTCCAAAGCCAGATATAGTCTCAGCCGGTGTGGGCAGGCCTCGAGTGATTGTTGGCACCAGTGGACAATACTACATCTTTGCTTCACGTCTCCGCTGCAGGATGTGCAAGAGGATCTGGTTTGCTGACAGTCCTCAGTGGACGGAGAAACTGCCAAAACGGTTCACAAACATTCTGCCAGCCTTCCTAACTTACAAAAAGGCCATTTGTAAGTCTGTGCTTCACGAGCTGAGGCGCACTGGCAAGTCACCTTCAGACATGGCAAACCAGGTGAATGAGCTGATGCACCTTAAATATGAACAAGCTCACCTGGCATATCTTCACAGCATACAGAACGTCTGGGATGCTGAGGCTGGGGTTTACGGGCAGACGACTCTTGGTCACCTTGTGAGGAAGGATAACATGCCACAGTCTTTTGGAGCCTACGATGATGCAGATGGGTGGTGTGGAGTCTCTGTCTCTGCTCACTACCTGACTGACTGCCTCATTGATGAGTACCGGCGCCAACAGCCGGCTATCACTAAGCTCCTGCAGGGCACTTTTGGACAGGTCTTGCGGTCTGACCACACCAGGAAGGTGTCACGAAAAGTGACCTTGTCATCTGGTACCATGTCAAGCTATGCAGTTATGAATGAGAATTGGATGATTGCCTCCTGGGTGATGGTGCAGTCTGAGAGAGAGAAGTCCCTTGAACCCATGTACCAGGGGTTAGCAAGGAGGTACAATGGTGCAGGGGTGGAGAAGGCCAATTACCACTGGGTAGACAGGTGAGAAATATCTCCTTCCACTATCACTAACATACATGATATTTGTGACTCTTAAAAAGTATGGATGTAACGATTCACTCAACTCACGATGCGATACGAATCTCTGTAAACCCTAGAGATGGTTGTGCGTGAAAATCCCAGTAGATTAGCAGTTTCTGAAATACTCAGACCAGCCCTTCTGGCACCAACAATCATGCCACGTTCAAAGTCACTCAAATCACCTTTCTTCCCCATACTGATGCTCGGTTTGAACTGCAGGAGATTGTCTTGACCATGTCTACATGCCTAAATGCACTGAGTTGCCGCCATGTGATTGGCTGCTTAGAAATTAAGTGTTAACGAGCAGTTGGACAGGTGTACCTAATAAAGTGGCCGGTGAGTGTAATTTGTATCATTACACTAGCAAGATTTAAAAAAAAAGAAGAAAACATTTAGAAAAATATGCCATAGAAATCAACAAATTATATTAAAATAGAGTAAACATCCCTGCTGTTTAAAATGTGTATCAGGATTTGTTTAACATCTCAACCGACATAAATCATCACATATTTTTATCGATTTTCAACCGATTGTAAATGAATCGTTACATCCCTATCAAAGAGTAATTTTTGTAATTCTAATCATTTCCGTCTACTTGTGTTCAGGGATTGCTGCGCACCATTCAAAATCCCTGACCTTCACCACGGAGAGCACCTCAACTGGGATGCCTGGAGTACCACACAATCTATCATCACTGAGGCCACTGCTGGGCCTTTGGAGAACACCTGTGCATCCCGTACACAATACAACCCCAACATTGTGGTCAAGTTGGATTTGTTTCACTGTATGAGGCGTTTCACACGGGAGTGCACTTCAGAGCATCATCCCCTCTACAGCACCTTTTGTCAGCTCCTCTCTGCTGCCTTTTCTGTCGTGGATCAGGAGGACCTGCAGAAGCTCAGGGATGCTTATCAGTTCTGTGGAATTCAGCCATCAAATCCTACAAAACAGCACATCAGAGAGCACTGTAGGACCAGAATTCCACAGCCAACAGAACTGATCGACAGAGTGGAGAAAGTTCTTCTGCATTTCCACCTAACCACAGACCCAAACAACTTACCTCTCTTCAAACCTTCGATGCTGAAGACATGGCGTATCCAGAGGGTGCACATTCTCCGTGGGTGCCTCAGTGACCCTGAGGTCACAGAGGGAATCCTGTACAGGTATGGGGGAACTCTGCAGCTTAATCATGTCCCTGGTGAAGGTGCAAAAGTCCCCATATGGATTCCAGTCAGAGGGACCTCACAACAGGAGGGGTATCATTTCCACCAGGCCCAGTGGATTACTGGAACTCATGTGTCCTGCGAATTGTTCCAGGCCCAGGGAATGACAGGGGTGGCACGGTGGAACTACAAGAGGCTTCTGGACCTTAAGCAGCCAGATGTAATCCTCCCACCTGTGTTTGATCCAGTACTGATAACTGAGCTAAACTCTGCTTCAAAGAGAGTGACTGGGAAAGAGAAGTACCCTGTACTGCACCTCTCTGACAGGGACACGGGAGAGAAGTTTGGCCTTGAATACAGAGAGCCAGAGTGCCGTCCAGTTCAACTTGATTGGAACAAACATAGGGTGCAAAAGAAAGATACTTCTGTTCTTGTGTCTCTCCCCCCTGACCCAACACCACCCACTACTGTGCCTGTGTCCCAGTCCCCCCAAATTAAACCTGCTGCAATCCATAAGGTACAGATGTTGTCCCAAGGAAGCATGGAACCTCCAGTTAAAATGGGTAAGTTAATACTAATTTCCAGGACCAACATTTTAAATAGAATTGAAAATCATCATCTCAGAAAATGAGTAAAATAACAATTCACTTTTTCTTTGTTCCAGAAACCTCTAGTACCCCACCCCTGCCTTTGCAGTCCTCACCAAGGAGTGCCCGCACTGGACCAATCAAGACTGGTGGACGAGTGTTCGTCTTGGACCACAAACGCTGGACATCATCAATGAAGGAGGCTATAGACGGCCTCCTAGACAATTACCATGGACAGAAAGACATGTTGAAGCTTGTGGATCAAGACTATGCAGCTATGGTCCATCGGTCTGCCACAGATCCAAACAGTCTGCTTCATCCCACAACTAAATACCATATAACACAGTACATAAAACACCTGGCTAAACAGTTAAACACAAGTTCATCACTGAACACGAGTCCAGAAAAACTTTTGGAGACACAAAAACTGTGGCAAAGTTTAACTGAGGGAAGTGAGACAGTCCATGTCCCAGTTGTAGAACTGCCACCAGCCATTGTGAATCCAGCAGATCCGATCTCACAGCCAGCATCTGAGAAGCAACTAACACAGGAGAATGTACAGAAAATAGTACAGGACATATTGCTACATCAGCAGGAGCAGCAACAGCAGCAGCAGCAACAAAAACCCAGACAGACGAAAAAATGTCTTGCGTGTGGGCAGCCAAAATCCCGCTACCAAAGTGACGGATCATCAATTCATCACTTTTATCAACAAGGGCCTGTTAGATATCACTACTGCTCCACAAAGGTGTTTAAAGCCTATTCTATGGAGGGACTGACAAATCCTAGAATGGCCTTTGAAGAGTTTGCACAGACTGACTTCTTTCAGCGTGAACTGCAATTAACAAAGCGCAGAGTGGAAGACAAAGCTGAAAAGAAGAGGAAACTCCCGGACCCTCAACCTCAGGGAAGGTTGTGCCGTTTCTGTCGCACAGAGCTAAAGCAGGGCCCAAACAGCAAACATATTCACACAGGGTTTCCAGGAGTGGCAGGAAAATACATTTACTGCCCACCTAAAGTCCTCGCCTTATATAAAGACAGAGGCATGGCACAGGAAATGACATGGAGGGAATTTCAAGCCTCATCATTCTATGTCATGGAAAAGGAGAGATGGGCAGCAGAGAGAAAGAAATAGAAATTCTGAACTTGATGCATTTCATATTTTAATCATCCGTTGTTTTCATGTTGCACCATTCTGTTGCTCCATCTGTTCCTTTCAAATACATACACATTTTAATCTGTCATTGTTTTTGTTCTTCACGTCCTGTCCTTAACATGACATCCATCCTACCTCAGGAGATCTAAACGGATCATATTCTGGTAAATTGTAACTATTTGTAAATTGTGTACTGATTAATGTGATTGATTTTGTTGTTATTTCCTTGTGTAAATAAATCTAATTAATCTTGTTCTTTTTTCTTGGGTAGGATCTGTATAGTTATTACTCATTATAAACTTTTTTTTATATAGGCCTATATACTCGCTTGTTTTCAGTCCCTATTGTTAGCCCCATCCCATTGCTTTGCTGCAGCTATACATTCCTTAGTTATACTTGGTTGTTTTAACAATTTCAACAGAATGTTTTAAATATGTTTAATAAAACATTGATTTTAAGTAAAAAACTTGTTTCGCTTGATTTCATCTTATAACACTAGTCAGATTATTTTAAAGGTCAAATAGGTTATTTGTAATTCACTCACAATCAGATTGCAGCATTTTAGCCCACTGTCCTTGGTACTGAATTTAACAGAGGATCAGTCTTGAGTTATGAATTATTTTTGCTGTATAATTTTACATATGATACTGATATTACATACTAGAATTTGGGCCTTCCTCTAATATACACATTTCAAACTGAACGGATGTAGATTTTAACCTGCCTTTCATTTGAAATTCTTAATAACTAGTGAAGCATTTCAGTACCATGGACAAGAAAATACAATTCAGTACCATGGACAGCGGGATCAAAATGCTACAATATGATTGGCTGTCAGTGTATTACAACTATCCGCGGCTGGCCCCCGCTTGGGAACCGAGAATTCTACCACTGAACCACCAATGCTCTCCAGCCTCATAACGGAACGTCCTCGTGTGATTGGTACAATCAGGGAAGGAGGTTATGCTTCATGGGTCGCGAAATAGATGAAAGATGAGGAAGACTTATTGATCTTGGGTTAAAACATCTTTAACGAGAGGCACATCATTTGAGCCGGCACATTGACGACAAGATTCATGAGGGCAAATTATTGCCCTTGAGCTGGCAATCGCTGTCAGTAATGTGGATTAGCAGAAGTTACATAACAAAGCTTTTTTGAAGACCATGACCTCAGGCACACCACAAGATACTTCTTGCATTGGCCGGGAATCGGACCCGGGTCTCCCGCGTGGCAGGCAAGAACTCTACCACTGAACCACCAATGCTCTACATCTTCCAAACGACACGTCACTGTGTGATCGGTACATTCAGGCAGGTTATGCTTCATGAGTCGCGAAATAGATGGAAGATGAGGAAGATTTATTGATCTTGGGTTAAAACATCTTTAACGAGAGGCACATCATTTGAGGCGGCACATTGCCGACAAGATTCATGAGGGCAAATTATTGCCCTTGAGCTGTCAATTGCTGTCAGTAATGTGGATTAGCAGAAGTTACATAACAAAGCTTTTTTGAAGACCATGACCTCAGGCACACCATAAGGAACTTTTTGCATTGGCCGGGAATCGGACCCTGGTCTCCCGCGTGGCAGGCGAGAATTCTACCACTGAACCACCAATGCTCTACATCTTCCAAACGACACGTCACTGTGTGATCGGTACATTCAGGCAGGTTATGCTTCATGGGTCGCGAAATAGATGGAAGATGAGGAAGATTTATTGATCTTGGGTTAAAACATCTTTAACGAGAGGCACATCATTTGAGGCGGCACATTGACGACAAGATTCATGAGGGCAAATTATTGCCCTTGAGCTGGCAATTGCTGTCAGTAATGTGGATTAGCAGAAGTTACATAACAAAGCTTTTTTGAAGACCATGACCTCAGGCACACCATAAGGAACTTTTTGCATTGGCCGGGAATCGGACCCGGGTCTCCCGCGTGGCAGGCGAGAATTCTACCACTGAACCACCAATGCCCTACACCTTCCAAAAGACACGTCACTGTGTGATCGGTACATTCAGGCAGGTTATGCTTCATGGGTCGCGAAATAGATGGAAGATGAGGAAGACTTATTGATCTTGGGTTAAAACATCTTTAACGAGAGGCACATCATTTGAGGCGGCACATTGACGACAAGATTCATATGCTTCATGGGTCGCGAAATAGATGGGCCGCCCGGGCGAGCATAAGCGTCATCTCCGGGTCCGGCTCGGACAACGTTACCACACCCGAAGGGGGCAACGCAGCCGAGTCGTCATTCCCAGAGCCCGACTCATCTCCCTCCAATGCCGCGATCGACATCTGGTCCTCCGGAGGGGCCCCGAAGGAAACGACCGGAGCCACACGTGATCACCCAGCGCGCTCCTCCGAAGACCCCAGTGGTACGGCTGAAGAGGAGTGGGATGTCCGAGGGGGTCTTTCACCCGGTAGATCATTCCGCACTGTAACCCTCAGACCACCAGTGGGATTAGCCGAAGTAGCCTTCTTCTGGAGTGAACCAGAAGAAGAACTAGATCGGGGAATCTCCAAAGGGACTCCCCGTCTGGTGAGGGATCGCAGTCTTAGTCTCAACACCGCGACGGTCATGTTCCCGCAGTGAGAACATGACTCATCCACGAGCGCTGCCTCAAAAAAAAAAATCGCAGTCTTAGTGAGAGATCGGAGTCTTAGTCTCAACACCGCGACGGTCATGTTCCCGCAGTGAGAATATGACTCATCCATGAGCGCTGCCTCAGCATGGCCCAAGCACGTGAGACAGCGATCGTGACCATCAGCCGGAGGCAGAAGTTGACCGCATCCAGAAACACACGGGTGAAACGTCATCCTGAAAAGGACGCGAACTTCACTCGTGTTGCTCTTTCAAAGAAAAACGCTCTCTTTATTGTGCTGAAGCACACAGGGATCAAACGCGGTAACACAGCAGGGAAACTGCAAGCCCGCTGCGTGCACTCAACCGATTACCAGCTGTGACAACAGCTCTTTTGAAAAAGGCAGATCGCGTGCAGCAACAGCTGGCAACCGGGAGATCACGAAGATCGCTGAAGCGCCGTCACACCAACACAGAGAGGTCTTCAAGGAAACAGCAGACTCGTTGAGCGTGAAGAAAAATGTAATCTTGAAGCTCATCACTCAGAGGACACTTAGTTCGGCTCCGAAGCTAAAAGCAATGGTATGTGCGTTCGCTTCCGCTTTTATACCCGCATTGATAGGCGGGACGCGGAATGCAAATCCCGCATGCCAATATTTATTGGCTCGTTTTAATTCACTCGAAGGCAATTGGTCTCCCTAGCGTGATCCCAATTCGTTGGAAACTCCTCCGACGAGACGTAGGAGTTCCCATACGAAAGGGAACCGAAAATTCTCGGGACAGCAACATGTGTCCAAATTTCAATCTTAACCGTTCTATTTCATCAGAAACGATCTTAAAACAGGGCTTCAAGTGTAAATTACCGAACTTGTCCTTTAATGTACTACTTAACAACAATGCGTTTTTATTGAATATGTTCTTTTTGGTTTTTAAAATGTTTTTTTTTTTCAATGCATTCAAAAGGAACGATTTATTTTTTCATATTTTGAGTTTTTTTTAAATACATTTTTATATTCTGTAATTTCACATTTTTATTCACACTTATTTAATATGCGATTTAGTTTTGAAAATATATTAACACAAAGACTTTGCTACTTTTATACATGCAAACAACTGACATTGTATGAATAAATGAATAAATATATTTATTTACATCTATTGGATATTTTTCGTGAGACCGAAACGTTGCTAATAAAAGTTTTTTAATATTAACTTGCAAGTATTGATAGTGTGCGGGAGTTCCTTATTTGCAGATTATTCTGTCATTAAAATTTTAAATAAATGTTGGTTTTCGATGACTTTTGGTTTTATTCCATTTACTTATATTTAAATGGCACATTTTCATATTAACTCTAATAAACGTGCTAACAAACATTAAGGTAAAATAGGTTAAAAAAAGCTTTTCCCTTTAAAACATAATTTTCAGTTTTCATTGTAAACATGTAATATTATTGCAAAACCATGCCTAAAATGAACAACAACAAAAGTGGTTAACCTTGAAAAATGTGATTTGTAATGTTATTATAAGGATTTTATAAAGTTGAGCACAATGAGCTAATAAGTGCTCCTCTGCTGCTATCTATTAGGACTTTCAGGGGATTTTCCATTATAAAAATAGGAACATTATCATTCTTCACCTGTGTAACTTCTATAGAGGTGTGGCAGGTGGGATACAAATAACAGGGGTTAAGCCCAGACAATTAGCAGACTACGCCACGATGGGATTTACACCCAAAGAATTACTTATTTTTAACCATTTGTTAATTTACACAGTATATTTCTCTATTTGTATGTAGTTTGTGAAGATTGTTTGCACCGTTTGTTCATTTACACTCTGTATGTATATTGTATTGTATGGTTAGTATTTATATTGCACAAGACTTGATACATTGTTTGCATTTGTTGTTAATGTTCAAATTATAATATATTTTTCTGAAGAAAAATGTTTGCTTCAGTGTTCTGTTGTTATATAACAATCTTTCTATTTACTTTACTCCCTGAACTTATTTGGACACATCTACACTGTCAGTAAATGAAATACACCTGTTTTTACTCAAAAACACCTAGATATAATATTATAATAAATGGCTATAACTTGCTGAGGGATTGTTACTGTCACGGAACGCACAACAGGGTTCACTAGGTCCCTCCCTCCTGCATACTAGGGGTGCTTCTCATTTCTTATTTGTGCATCCTCGTTTCCTTTCCTCGCTTCCTTTCCTCACGTCTCAGCTCCACCCCCTGCAGGACGCGAGGAAAGGCTGCAAGGGAAAAAAACGAGAACGGAGGAATTGAATGAAAGCTTTTTTTATACATTGGAATACTTGATCACTCGAGCGTCACTTCACTGCGTCATCAGCAGTGCTCAAAGGATCTGCCCTTATGTTGTTAAAATTTGTTTAAGAAATTCATAA